TTTAACTAATGAGTAGCTTTAACTGGATTTAAATTTTAAAGTGGAAGAAAAGCACCTCTGCATACTAAGAGTACATTTAATGTTATTTAAAACAGGTGGACGTAAATTCCTGAAAACAGATTTTCTTTCTTTTAACTTTTCTCTTACAAGTGCCTAGCTCTGTAAGAAGTAATGATAATCATCCAATATGAGCATGGGGGAAAAATCACAGTAATGGCTTTACTCCTATTTTAGGTGCAGCAAAACAACTCCATTTTCTACCTGATTATATGTACATAATAGGGCTTGATGTTTCAGAAGCACTACGATAATAATGCAATTCAGTCTCCTAATTCCTATGGAGCAGGTAAGTGCTATCCTCTCAGAAGAAATAGCAGACACACCTAATAAATTGACCGGCTGAAGGTTGTACACATGTGCTGTTACTAAACTGTAAAATGAATCCGGATCGTGGTCCAGTGTTCCTTTCTCCAGACTATTTTAAAGCCAGGCAGCAGCAGAACCATTGGGAGATCGAAGGTATTTTTCTTACTGTGCTGATTGGTGACATTTACAAAACAACAGGCAGCATTAGCACAACAAGGTAATTAGCACAATATGCTTGGGATTCTAATTCCCTTTTAAACAAATTCCCATTGCTGGAACAGAGGAACACATCCTCAATTTCCTTGGGTTTATTATGTCATGGAAAACACGTACATAATACAACCTCTCATTACATCACCACTTACTGATTGTCAGGATAACCTAAAAGCTCTGGTTTTCCTATAACTTGTAAGCAGATTGTGGTAAAGAGTCCTTGGCTCATTTAATGTTCATCTTTCAACTTTTCTTGACTTTGGTGAGTAGAACAACACACTGCTGTGCAAGATTAATAGGTTTCAAGGCCAGAAGGGACTACTGTCATTGTCTAGTCAGCCCCCCTCATCGCACTGGCTACAGGATTTCCCCAAGTCGGTTCTTGTTTCAGGCCTGATACCTGGGGTTCTGTTAGAGCATATTTTAATTACAATGTTCCCGTTGTGGAGAATTCTTGGTACCCCTGGTAAATTTTTCCACTACTTAATTACCTCTGTAACTTTTAACAATGATGTCCTATTTTTTCACTGAATGAATTCATCCTTGATAGCCAGATACCAAGCCTCTTCACATGCTTGCCCGATAGACCGAAGAGCCCACTGTTATTTCATTTCTGCTCCCCATGTAGCAGTTATAACTAAGTCAAGCCTCTTTTTAAACATTGCAAGCGTTTATATTTGGGGTAAAATCTACATAATATTGTGCAGTGATGTGTTGCCACACAGTTAAAGAATCACAAGGCACAGAACGAGAGGGAACGGTTAAGAAACTTCATGTTTTCTGACTGGGGTGTGCAACAATATCACTTTTTCCTTTGATTTCAGTCTTTATTTTTAATGGAAATATTACTAAACAGAATTAATTACAATCTCATCTGAGATAGATGCAAATGAACTATACCAATCTGGTTCCAATAGGCATTTTATAGTGTAGAAGACTAACTCATCATGCATTAGGATAGATTTCATTAATGACTGTGTTGTGTGTTTTCCAGCTGAGCATGGGCAAACATTCAAGGCATCATTAACAATTTTGGTCAGTACCATAAATACTGGTCTGCGTGTTTATATGTTTGTATACACAGCACCACTGATAAGACACAGAATTGTTTTTTTTTCCAGCAATGAAGATGCACAAACACAATCCAATAAACAAATATTTAAACAGGGGCTATGTCTGCACTGGCAAAAATCCATGCCTTCAGGTAAAACTGTTGTGTTTTATTTTTTGAAAAAAAAAAAGAAATCTCCAATCTTGCAAGACAGTCAATAACTGCTTGGCGTTATTTTAAAGGCTGAAGAGCCTTCTTAGAAGCTATCATTGCCACAGGGATGGTATCTATCTTTCACCATCAAGCCCATAAAAAAAACCCACAAGCCATGCAATACAGATATTCTAAAAATTTAAATTGAGTTGCTAAATCATGAATCTTAATCATGAATCTGATGTGTTCAGTTTTGGGCCCCTCAGTACAAGAAAGACATCGAAGCCCTGGAATGTGTCCAGGGAAGGGCTACGAAGCTGGTGAAGGGCCTGGAGCACAAGTCCTGTGAGGAGGGGCTGAGGGAACTGGAGCAGAGGGTGCTCAGCCTGGAGAGGAGAAGGCTCCAGGGAGAGCTCCCAGTGGGCTACCAGGGCCTGAAGTGGCTGCAGGAGAGCTGGGGAGGGACTCTGTGTCGGGGGTGTAGGGATAGAACAAGGGGGAATGGCTTTAAACTGAAGGAAGGTAGATTTAGATTAGCTCTAAGGAAGAAATTCTTTTCTATGATGGTGGTGAGGCCCTGGCCCAGGCTGCCCAGAGGAGCTGTGGCTGCCCCATCCCTGGCAGTGCCCAAGGCCAGGCTGGATGGGGCTGGGGGTAGCCTGGGCTGGTGGGAGGTGCCCCTGTTCATGTCAGGGGGGTGGAATTGGGTGGGCTTTGAGGTCCCTTCCAACCCAAAGCATTCTAAATGGTGCTAAGACAGGCCGTTGGGCACAAAAGTTGATCTCAATGCCCACTGTAGTTGATATAATTACAAACCACAAATACATCACGGTATCTTTCATCACGGTGTGTCAAAGCACCTCCCAAACTTTTACCAAGCAAACATCATAACTCATCTGCAGAGCAGCAAAGTACGGTGACTTTCGTCTTCTAGATGAGAAATGAGACAGAGAAGTCACCTGCCACGACAACAGCAATGTCAGAAAGGGAACATTGACTTGTTTCTCTCTTCTGTGCTTTAAATGGCAGCCAGCATGTTCACCTCTCACAGGCAAGAAGTCGCTGGACTTCCTTAAGTATAAACTTGGAAATTTCACCTTATGAATAGAAAACATGCCCCAAAGCCACAAAATAAAGCCGTTTTGCTCACAACGGGATGCCAGTAGTGTGAAGAGGAGTAAGCAGGATAGGAAGAAATGTTTTACAGCTCTCTTCTCTCTCAAGAGACTTTCAAATTGCCTTTGGGTATTGATAGAAATTTTCCATCTTTCATTTATGGTGCAAATGACCATCTGTTTCAACAGATTGTTTAAAGAAATAGAGTTGTGGACAATCTGTCTCAGACTTCAGAGGTGAATGACTAACTTCATTTCATAATCAATTTCAACCAAACAAGATTTGCCTAATTTCCAGACTGCTAAAAAAAAAAAAAAGAAATACTGTGGAACATCTCCTCTTCATTAGATTAATTTAAAGGTGGGAGAGGGACAGAAAAATGTCCCTCTAAATATGACAACACATTCTGCTTTACTTGAGTGCCACCCTCAGGAGCAGACGTGAAGTGGAGGTAAGTTTACCTGTCAAAGATCCGCTGGGGCTGCAGCATGCCATACATAATCTGAGTCATATGGTCGTTAGCAGCGACAACTTCTGGAGGAGGATCGTATTTATTCACAGCATCAACCTGTTTCCAGAGTTTAGGAGAAAAAAAAAAAAGAAGAAGAGTAGTGATGTAACTGTTCCCAGCTGTAATATGCTTCTCAGATCACTATGAGTAACGATGGCCTCATGTTTATGAGGGTCAGTCTTCATATTTGGCTTGTCTGTAAGCACTCCGCTACATAAATCTTTTCAGGAGATTTAAACACAATTTGATAGATGGGTGGAAGGCAGCCAGAAGTAGCTCACATCATTAATATATTCAACCTTTTACTGGAAAGAAAACAGGATGCTACACAAGATATAAAGTAATTCTGCTTAGGTTTTAATTATCCATTAATTTGCATCTTTTCATGCTAGTGGAAGATGCCAAACTAAAATCCTTAGGGACTGAAGCCATTCATTTATTTGTTAAAAGAGGAATGGAATGGGCATTAATAACATAAGCAAACTGCAGTTTTCTCCTGACAATGCATTTCTGTCTTTCCAGGAGGAAAAGCATTCAAACTCCAAGGATTCTCCCCATTCATTCTCTTAAAATTCTATTGAGGGTACTGACCTCTATTGGTCTTTATTTATTTATTTTTATTATTAATGTTATCCACTCCTAGAATATCCTGAGGAGAGGATTTTCTGAAATAACTTAATCATCCAAAAGTTAATGCTTGTCTAGATCAGTCATCTAGGCTTACTTTTACAGTCCAAACAAGAAAGATTTATTTAATGGATTCTAAATGTTGTTGGAAGGAATGCAGACTGACACATAGGAAAGAATAAGATCAACATCTCAGGTAGGTGGGGTAAATTACACTCTGATATCATCCATTCTCTGTGCTCATGATAGCAAGAGCCTAGCACTAAACAAGAACCCTGATACTTATGCAACTAAAGTTAGGAGTGACGAATTACCTTGAAGGACCACTTTTTGAGAATATTTCATTCATATCCAGCCCCAATTTACAACCTTTAATCTCAACAATTCTAGCACGGCTCCCAAATGCTACACAGAGCAACCAAATTATACCAAAAAACAGCATGAGAGGAAATGTTTTCTATTAGAAACAGAATGTTACTGTAAGCAGTCTGAGGAGTTTTTTTTTTTTTTGGGAAAAAGATTTGACTGAGAAAGCTGTATGAAGTAGAATTGGAACCATCATTGTAGCTTTCAGAGTTCACTCTGCAGTACACAGCATTGAAAAAGAACAACAGTAGTCTAAACGTTGCCACATAGTATTTCATGAGCATAGATACCTTTTTAGCTTCACTAACTGCTAAATAATGGCTGCTAAATAATATTTCTTTATGAAGCAAAGCTTTTATTGAGTTTTGCATTTTACATACTACAAATGCTCCAGAAATTCTGTAGATACACAGCTGATTTAGAAACAAAAGTCTATCTTGTAGCCTGAAAGAAGGGAGATTTGTGATACCCAAATGTGAACAAACCTGATCTACATGCATTGTTTTTTTGTATTTGCATCTTTATTCAGAAAAAAATCCAGAATGATATGCTTACACACCGTCTCTTCCACTGAAATCTTCTTGAGATCCAGTTCTGTTAATTGTGGCAACATGATATCCCCGAGAGCCAGTAATCTGTTTGCTCCTGAAGGAAAAAAAATTCCACTTTGACATAAAGTGCATAACTTCATCAGGCTAATATTTAATTTCCATTGGCCAAAGTTAAATTGGCCTTAATATATTGCAATATAAAAAGCTTTTTACCCTGAAGGATGTCAATACACTGTACAAGAACACCCCTCCTTCCCCCCATAAGCATTACTTCTACAACAAAACCTAAAAGCTGTTCAAAAGTCTGCAATTACATTGTTCAAAAGGTCAGGATGGGAATTAAAAAAATAAAAAGAAAAAACACACCACCATACACACTAGAACACCAAGGAAGACTGTTGGAGAACAAAAAACCATTATCTATACTGGACTATGTAATAAACTATATCTAATACTTCTGACCTTTGAAGAACTATAGGAATTTAAAAGGGAATTCACATTATAAATTCATTGTGATATATGCTTTTAAGTCTGAGGCAATAAAAAAGAATAATTAAAAAGCAAATAAAAAGCTGTTACTGATAACTGAAATTCAAATGGCAGTATTAAGATGATGTTTGTGTACGTTACTAAAATAGTAATTTAAAGGAATGGGATGAGAATCTGCTTTGGAGGAGGTCGTCTAAACAGAAAAAGGGTTTCAAACTGTGGAGGAGGCTCAGGACAGCCTGTTTCAGGCATTTTTTTCCTGCTAATTTCATCGTGCACCACAACAGATCATTCTCAAGAAAGTCAACATAAACCTGGCCATTACAGGAAGGAGAAGTTAAACCCTTAACATTTTTCTTCTGACACAGGAAGTATCTCTGGGTGAGGTTTGTGAAGATTGTGTGATGAATACATATTTTAATAAGAAGTCTTAAATATGCATTTCACAGAGGCAAGGGGTGACATGTACTGGGTTTATGGTGAGGTTTTGGTAGCGAGGGGGCTGCAGGAGTGGCTTCTGTGAGAAGAGACCAGGGCAGTGTTCCAGCTGGCTCAAAATGGAGCTGGCCAACACTGAAGCCACTCCAAAGATGCCTCTGTGCTAATATATAGGAAAGGGTAAGAAACATTGCGCAGCAGTTATGAGAGAGAGGTGAGAGCAATGTGAGAGAAAACCCTGCAGACACTTAGGTCAGTGAAGAAGGAGGGGGAAAGAGGTTCTCCAGGTGCTGGAGGAGAGGTTCCCTGCAGCCCATGGAGGACCGCATGGAGCAGAAACCCACACTGAAGCTCATGGGGGACCCCACACAGCAGCAGGTTACGTGTCCTGAAGGACCTGCATCTCGTGGAGAGCCCGTGCTGGAGCAAGCTCCTGGAAGGAACTATGTTCCACGCAGGACCCTTGCTGGAGTAGGCTGTCCCTGAAGGACTGCACCCCATAGAAAGGAGCCATGCTGGAGCAGTTTATGAAAGACTGCATCCCATGGGAAGGACACCATGCTGGAGTGGGCAAAAACATTAAGGAAAAAGGAGCAGCAGAGACAAAATGTTATGAACTAACCACAAGCCCCTGTTCCCTATGCCTCAGTAGGAGGAAGAAAGAAGAGTCAGGAGTAAAGTCAAGCCAGGAAAGAGGGCAGACAGGAGATGTTTTATCTTTTTTTCCTTAGTATCTTACTCTTTTTTTTTTTTTTTTTAAATGGCAATAAATTAAATTAATCTTCCCCAAGTCAAATTTGTTTTGCCCATGATCATAACTGGTGAATGATCTCCCTGTCCTTATATGACCCATGAGCTTTTTCATCTTATTTTATTCCCATCTTGCTAAGGAGGGAGAGCGAAAGAGCAGCTTGGTGGGCACCTGGCGACCAGCTGAGGTCAACCCACCATAAGTTCAGACAATTTAGAAATCACAAAAGTCAGGACACAATCATCTTTGGTTATTCAGGACAAATTATAAATACAGAGTCAGTATTTCTGATGTTGTGTAAATGTCACTGTCATTGATAAAATGGATGTTTGATTCATTGGTTGAAGAGTAACATGGGAGCCATAAAAGAGAACTGAGTAAATCCTAAAGAAAAGCAGATACAGATTCCAGAGACACATGATTTTTAAATGGTTACTCTTAAGTTCCTTTGAGCTTTTCCCACAAACAAGTCTGTACCTTCAGAGCAAACGAAAGAGGGTTCTCCTACCAAACAATAATAATTAAAATAATAAGAAATATAAAAATAATTGCATAATACGAATACAAAAGTATAAATGGATTCACAGGCAGGATTAATCAAATTCATGGATTTACTGCATGGATATTAAACATGATACATATGCAGCATTTGGTCAGGAAGTTCCCCAAAAAAGGTGGGTAACCATGCCAGGGGAACCATCATTCATTCTTGCCTTGTTTCATATACCCATTCCTAGATGTCCTGATCACTCTCAGAGACAGAAAAGGAAGCTAAATGGATTATGGTAGGATACAAAAGACCAGCTCTAGATTCATATTTTTTGCTTTGTCTTTACTCCTTTCTTACCTGTACAGGATTTTGTAAAAGATTTAAAACTCGGAGGAGAGGCAGATCTTGAATATATTCAAGTTCACCCAGTTCAGCAATCTAATTAGTGACAGAAACAGAGCATAAATTAGCAGCAACAGAATCCACAATAACTACAGGGAAAAAAAATAAAAAAAGAAGTTCTCTGATTCTTGTTCTTAAAATCTGGAACTAAAAAAAAATATCATTATACTCACAAAATGGGTATACATGTTAACTGCCTTCAATAAGGCACTTGGATTCACAAAAGGCAGACAACTCGGATGTTAGCTGCAGAAGCAATATTACAGACAGTAATTTCGAACCACCTGTGTTTTTCCAGTTCTTTCAAATGTCAAGCCATAACACATTTAGCTTTTATGTGGCTGATGTGCTTAAGTGAGGCAATTCTGCGGTTATATTTGCGCTTCATGACTAGCGCAAAAAATTCCTTCTAAGAAGAGTTTCCTTTCACTGGAGCTCCAGTTCATCCCACCTAACTTTCAGCACTTAACTGAAAAGCATCAGCAGATTTGTCCTTGCCTCTATTTACGTCCGGAGAGTAATGCATCCCACTTAAGGACTCGTGCACAAAGAAGATCTGCACTCAGCCACTTCAGTGAGTTATTAGAAGTTGTGTGTTAATCGAAGTTTGAGTGCCTGAAGCAAAGTCAGACTAGAGGCATTCATACCAGACCCTGAGTGAATAGTTGTATGGCTACCAATTGAAACAAAATGGATCAAAATGGGTCATGTTGCTTCGTTTTAGCCACCTGTAAGGTAGCCCAGATCAGCCACTTAACACGATTTTATAATCAGTGGAGAGAGCCAGTTCCAGAGACCATCTGATCCATGCTAGGCTGGGATGAATTGCCTTGTAAAGGTGCCTGATTGAAAGACTGAACCATCCCTAACTTCTAGTTGGCTTATGTAAGGTGCCTAAGAACACAAACCTTAACGATAGCCTAGACAATATTATTTTTGAGATAACAAGCCCATTGCTGAACAATTTTGACCAGGTTAAATTTGGGTGGATTTCCTAGTAAAGTCATTGAACACCAACATATTTGAAAATCACTGAATAGATATGTGAGAGATACATTCTGCAGATAAACCCATTGTGCCCATTTTTGAAAAAAATCAAGCACTTGAGATCATTCTGGATGGTGGTGAGCTGAAACAATTCAGATTATTACAACTCTGAAAATTACTTCCCTACACAAAAAGCTCCAACAGAGTTCAATAAACCTTTTACATCAGGACCTGCAGTAACATTTAGCTTCTCTCTTTATGCAGGGGTCAAAAAACATACACTTTTTGAATTCAGACATTTTAATTCATCACTGAGACTGTGTTTGCTTTAGCGATGTAGTTTTAGTCCTAGAACTTTTGTGTTTTGGGTATTTTTGGTGGGTCACAGCATACATAGCACTGCCTAGATAATAGGCATCTTGCCCCTTACTAGCAGCTAAAAAGGAAAAATAAAGAGCACATTGGCTCAGCACAGACAGCAGGTGGGATGGTTCCAGGCTGAGGGACAATTCTACCTTGTGCATGCAGGAGAGAAGAAAAATTTGAGTGTTCTGTCCTGTGTTTGCTCTCAGGCCCTTCTGACCTGCAGAATACCACATCCACCCAGCTCTCCAGAGACACCAAGTAGCTGGCATCTTACTCCCACCGCTGACGCGGGCAGAGCAACCTAACTTTACACGGGAACAATGAGTTCCAATGACAGGCTTAATGCAGCTATTTCAGACAGATGAAAATTGAGGCTTAAGCAATTGTGCCAATATTCTCTTTAAATTATTCTGCAGAAAGAAATGTTCAAAAATTGTGACTCATTAAACGGTTTCAATAACATCATTAACAGAGGTAAAATTTGATGAGGCAAAATTAATAGCTTTGGCGTGCCGTAAGGAACGGTGGAAACTATAAGAGGTGATGGAAGTGGTGTTATTAATGCTAATAACAACCTCGCCATTAGTTAGTTTCCTGTCTTGTGCAATTTTAAACATCGATGTGCCTTTAAATGTCAACCTGAACGCACTGCGAGAAAAAGAATTCAGAGCGTATTGTATTAACTCCTGTAAACATATCTTGCAAATGGGGAAAAATGACAGAAAATGTTCAATTCCTGGTTTATATTGTTATTTCTTATTTTCTTCGATTTTTTTCCTCATGCAGATCTTTCTTTGATGTCAAAATGATTCATGAATTGACAGTCTTTTCAGTGAGAGACTCTGGAAGCTCAATATCAAAAGGATTAGGTACATATGGCTTGGGTTTCAAAACTCAAATACAAATGAGTTGGATTGTGTCATTGTAATTCCAGTGAAAACTCTGCTGCATAACAAAAGCCACTTTATAATAGAGTACACACCGTTCTGCCTTCCAGAAACTTTCCAGCTGAGAGCTCAGAAGAATCTGTGGTCATAAAATTGGGCTGAGAGATATTAGCATACCCTCCTGAGGCCTGGCAGTGGAAAAGCTGTGATGTAAGTAAAGATCCTCAAGAATAATCAAGCTGAAAAAGCCACATACTCATCCCTATCATATCCACTCAAGGGAGTACTGTTAGTTCTTTACATATGTGAGCTCTAAATATTACCGAAGTGCTACTTACATAAAGATAATCCCGTCTAGAGATATTAAATAAGGCCTGAGGAATACACTATAAATCAACACGTGAAACAGTGCTGGAGTGAAGCACCAAAGGAAAAAATGTCACCTTTCCTAATATTCACGGCTTGCAGCGTAAGATTTTTTCTTTAGGTCTTCAAGGGATAAGGTTTTAGGGAAAAAAAAAGGAAAAAGGGATGCATTCTCAGAAGAAGTTGAGATCAGTAATAAGATTGTTACCTCGTTATTCTCTAGATCGATCACCTCTAGCAGATCATGTTCTTCCAAGCCTTCTAGACTGGTTATTTTATTGTTAGAAAGGTCCAGATTCCGTAGTGTTTTCAAGCTGTCCAACCCAGTTATCTTCTCAAGCAGGTTAGAGCTCTAAGAATAAAGGGAAGAATGTGGATTCTGATAAAGTTCTACAGATTGGAAACAACATTTCTGAGGAAGAAATGAGTTTGTTTATTATGGAGAATCCTATTACAAGCAGGTCTTACGTGCATTAGCCCCATCTTCATCTTGAGATGACATACTACAGCTTTCCATTCTGCTCAAGGAAAAAGGAATCAACTATCTTTGGACTAACTTACCTTCAACTTACCTTGAATAACAAATAGCAAGAGACAACATCAATAAAAAGAGCTTGAGCATTCATTTAAAGCTGACACTGGCTAAAGGATACTCTTGCCAATATCAAACTCAAAATTTAGGAAATAGATATGCACATAAAAATATAGAATACATATACATACATGCATACAATTTCCCTCTGTAATGATGGTTATATTTACACTTATGATTACAGAATAAATAATGAAAATATGAAGGTAGAACAATACAATAGTCTTCTTTGGATTGCAGGCACTCTATAAAATACCTCTAGGATACACAAGTTCATTAATATATAATAAATGAATGCAGCCTATTTACTTTTGGTGATGGCATGCACAGAAATATTCCAGAAAAACACCATCTCTACTGTAAGTTCATCTAGACTCTAACAAGAGAAATGACCAAGCCTTTGAGAATTCATAACTGACTATTATTGTTTTACATTCCTTCCAAACAAGGTACAAGATAGAAGGCCTACATTAATCACTGGACACCAGATGGCTTCATTTCTCAGGGCCTCACAAATCATTTACTTGTTCCTGCTATGAACTCCAAATAGTTATAGCATGCTAGGTTCTGTACTCATCTTTGTCCCATTGGCCACATGTACCCAGATGGCCTCTCAACATGATTCTCTCCGAATAACCTTGCAAGTTTTATATTTTTCCATCAGCATCACCTTGTGCTGAAAGCTTCAAAGCCTCATATTCTATTAATAAATATTTAGGAACTATTGAAATAAATAAGCCAGCTGACTCTAATGTTAATCCAGTTGTCTGTCCTTGACATTTTTCCTGACTTTTAAATGTTTAATTAGGTTATTAATAGCATGGAAGCTCTCTCTTCCCTTCCTGTACTTCGTTAGACCTCTTTAATAAGATACAGCTCAGAGCTCTAGTTGCAAAATGCTATGCAAGAGGTACACAAAATTTTGTGAACAAAAGGGATTTGTGCGGAGATCCTGTTTTGCTAAGCATAAAATTCCTAAGAGTCCAGTTCATTAAAGCTGCACTTGTTATTTTTTGCAAACACAAGCAGAATAGAGGCTTTTTGGTATAGCTAGGCAGTATTTACAGTTTCTGAAGTCTTTCTTCCAAACTTCAGACCTTTACTACTCTTTCAACCTAGAAACCTCAAGGGAAAATAGAAAGGAAAGCTGAATCAATGGGAGGAGAGGGGGATGACTGCTCCCATGAAAAAGAGGAACTGCATCTTATTCTAATTAGTAAAAGAAAACGCTATGCTAAAATCTGTCTATTTACATAATTTCCACATGACTATCTACTTTGCTAATTAAAAAAGACAAGCAGTTGGATAAATAATCATATCAGCATGTAAGAACCAAAACTGAAGAACATGTTCATATTAATAAGCCTTAGCTGTTAACACGATCTCCAAAGCATTTTACAAAGCAGATAACCATTACTAACAGAATTATTATTAGGCCTTTTAACAGATGAGGAAATCAAGGAGCACAATGGTTAAGTGGGTTCCTTTAGTTCTACTGAAGGAAGCATTTAGAGAAAAGATCTTCCCGGCAGCTTAGATTCTTATACTCTTCATTTCAGAACTTTCAGACAAGATTTTGCCAATCTGAGTTAATCTTATCCACCAAAAATAAAATAAAAAATCAAATCAGTTTTATTCCCACTGAAGTCATTAGGAAGCTGAAATATAAAAGTATTAAAAATATGCTGCTGAACACTTTTGGAATGTATTATTTAAAACATACTACTACCCACTTTTAAATGTGAATAGCTTTACAGAATATCGAAGTGGTGAGACCTACAAGGGACAATCAGGCATTGACGGGCACAGCCCTTACTTATGCCCTTCTACACCAATTACTACAGCACAGAAAAAAAATCTTTAAAATTTTAAAAGGACTGAAAAAGAACATTTCTATTCTTGAATAAGAGATTCATTCACTTTACCTAAAATATTTATGTAGGTGCTTAACACTAATGTAGCAAATATGAACGTATTTCTATGTATAGCTTTTTCACCCTCAGCTTCAAACTCCACTTAAATATTTTTAAATTACTGTTATAAAGTAAAACCTATTGAGATGTAGACTTGTATTTTTATGGCAACTCAACAGCATTAAAAATAGTTCTTGCCTGTAGTACTCTGCAACCTCTATACTGATAGCCCTTCCTATAAAGTCACTTGAAATGATTTAGAAGAAAGGGTTGGTATTATTAGGGATGTTTTACTAACATGGAACTGAGGAACACTGATAAATGCCTTCCCAAGGCCTGTAAAAGAGCAAGATGCACACAAACAAGCGTAGGCATTGATAAATAGAGGTCTATACTCAGCTAGTTATCCTCAGCAATCTTCATAACTGAGAGAAACAGCCACTTCCAAGGCCTGATGCATCTTGTGTTAATGTTGATGTCAGCAGTTGGATCGGAATAGTGGAGTACCCTAAGTGTCCACTTCTCTCCACTGACTTATGAGGTGGCAGAGAATGAGCTCAAATGCCATGGTCTACACTAAAAAAATCTGAAGCCAGATGAGGTAACTGCCACTAAAAATCTAGAAATACACCTTAGAAATGTTGTACGTCAACAGATGCACCCTAGATATCAGATGACCCTCAGTGCTCCATCCTAACCCATAACATCCCTTAATTCTGTATTAACAAAAAAATAAAAGTGTGTCCCACATTACACGTCTTTCAAAATTTGTTATGTAATTACCTTCAAGTTTATTAAGGCATAAATATATTGATAGAAGACTGACAGGAAAACAACAAGAAATATTTTCTTACCAGATTGAGGATTTTGAGAGGTAAATTCTCCAGGCCACCGATTGCAGTGAGTCTGTTATGTGACAAACTAAGATGAGTCAGGCTATGACACTTCTCCAGTCCTTTTATCTCCGCTATGTTGTTAACTATACAGGGGGTTTGGGATTCAAGGAAAAGAACTGGATGCAAAAATCTTCACGAGTTAGCAGCTGGTTAGACAGTGGGGCTGAAGTTCACGGTATGGGGAGCTCAACATCGAATGCTTCATGCTAAAGTGTTTCAGATCCCAGCTGCTCACACCTGGCCCTACTCTGAAGCACGCTGCCTCCTTGCCTGCATGACACAGCTTCCCGTGGGGCTGCAGGGTAAGTGACTTCACTGATCCAGCCAGAAATATCCCCCCCTCCTTTTTGGTGGGTCTTTCAGCTCATTTTCTGTGACCTGGTTTGTAGCACAGCCTGGCATAACGGGGGGAAGGAACTTCTGTCAGCATCTTGTGAAGCCACACTGCAAATCACCGGTCTTCTCATCAGATGCTCATGTGCAGGTAAGACAAAAGGGCCTTACACCTTTGACCCTTCAACTGGGCACCAGTGCTTGTAAGCCAGCTGTAGAATACAGGCAGATGGGTGAGCCATCAGAGGAGGGCTTGGCTTTTTTAAGTTTGCAGAGTACTTAACTCAGTATGGCTCCAAACTCACCTTGACATCCAACCATCATACACAAATTATCCAAGTAATAATGGACGCTTGTACTTGGTCGGGCTATTTCATGCTAAGTTACACTGGTGCTACACTGGCTGCCTGTACTGAAAGGGGAAATGTGTTTTAAATTAACAATAGAATCAAAAGCAGTAGTAAAGGTCAGTAGGGTTCCTCTCAAAGTCACCTTTAACACGGTCAGCTTTAATTTTTCAGATTCCTTAAAAAAACAAAACACACAAAAACAAACAAACAAGCAAAAAACAGAAACAAAAAAACATATTTCCTTTGACAACAATCTCGGATTGCTCTTAGAACAGGATGAACTGCAGAGGCAGCTGTACATCCTTCTCCGCTGAACTCAGACAACTCAAATCAGGCACTTAATTATTTGGTGACTGAAGTTAGGCAAAAAGAACTGTACTCCTATTGTAAAAGTCCAAAACTGAACTAGTTATATAAAAACAACAAGAAATATAACTGAGAAAAATAGCCAGAGCATGCAGGGGACAGAGAAATGCCTTTAGGCGATCACAGAAGAAAACATTTTTAATTGACTTGAGATAATGAACTCTGCCTGCAAAAGGGACGAGTTCTCATTCACTTTTCTTATCAGGCAGTGGACAAGTTATCTGGATTTTCTTCCTTCAGTCTGAATGATATCGGAAATCTAAATGAAATGTAAGCTTAGTCAGGGCCAATATAATCCTCTTTAATAACTGTGACCTAACTCTTTTTTTTTTTCCTGTCTTCTTACATGGGAACTTAATTATACTCTTCCTCTTGTTCCACACTCACAAGCTGAGATGGGAAAGGAGAGGTGGAGAAATGAGCTGGTAAGCACAGATTTATCTTTTCAAAGGACCTCACTCCAGGCTGTCTCCGACATTTAGGAAAGAAACCAAAGCCATCCACAGGCGTTGATAGTTGACAGATATTCATCGATCTGCATGCAGAATGGGACTGCTCCTCTTTCAACTGAGGAGGAAAAAATTGGGTGAGCAATGAATTTGGGTCAGTATGAATGAGATCAACAAATCATGTACTGCCAGTAAACACAAGCACCAGCCTGTTTTGAGACAAAGAGCTTTAAGCCACAAGCATCAATATGAGGCAGCAAATTGCCCGGCACTAAGAACGAATATAATCAGTTTTATTCTTCTAACAGCCCGCTATAATGCCTTGTAAGCTATTATTGCCCAAGCTGTCTCCCTCTCTGGTTTGGGCAGCTACCTCCTTGAAAACTCATTTATAATCTTGTCAGGTGTGCTTGTACGAGCACCTGTCAGAAAGAAAGTTGCAATGACCTTACCATCTGCATTGTAATTAATTTAAATATGGTAAGAAATGCTTAGTTACTGTAAATGAGGAAATACATGCCAAACATTGCCACTAGCGCATGATATTTATTTATTTTTTTATTTATGGATTACAAAGAACAGCTTGTTTTGTCTGCCATGTCTTCTGTGAGGAGCGCTTGACATGGGTTAGGAACAGTGCCACTTTACTGTCCTAAATTCTGCACTCTTTTTTTGGTCTGTTTCAGAGGGTCCCATTGCAATTGTATGCGTGAAACAGTTTTTCTCCCCATTACATTGGCATCGGTGCAAATGAAGAAATTGAAGGCAGCACACTGCTGCATTCAAACCAAGTGAAGAAATACAGATTCCGATCCACAATACAAATCTCTGATCCTTTTTTCTTTTTCATTTTGTCATATGCTTTTTGCTCCGAGACAGAAAATTAGAATTGCAAAGGAATAGTGTCTCAGTGCCATTTCCTGACAAGAATCACGTCACCTGCACACCTTTTAAAGCGTGTGAATAATGTAACCTGGACACCCTGCAAATGCTTTATCTGCTCCTACATGAAAAAGACATTGTATTAATATCGTTTGGTAATGGGCTACTTCAAGAACAAGAGACAAAAAAGAAAACACAACAGCCTGCTGTCTTCTCCTTTTCAGAGAGCAGAAAATCAAGATGCAATTTATGAAGCAAAGAGAGAAGGGTCGCAAGCCTTCAGGAAGCAATTGTAAGTAAGGCAGCACGTCAACGTGAAGCTGCAGAAGACCTTTCAGAAAAGCATAGGAAATCTAAAGGCAGGCAGACTAAGAGCACTGTGGACAGCCTTAGAAAAAGAGGCGATGAAGAAACTTCATCTGCACGTTCATGCTTATCTGATTTCTGTCAGAACAGTGCTTCTAACCCCCAAAAATAGGTCTTGTGGTGACTGTGTGGAAGGTGTGCAGCACAGCACCATCCCTCTCTGTGTGTGTGCAAGAAACTCAAGTTTCCTCTCACCTAGATTATCTTCACTGTTGTTAAACAGCCTTGTCCTCCACCAAGCCTCTTTAGGCCTTCAGTAATTACCTGTGTCTAAAATTAAACAACATGCACCTTTCTCATTTAAGGGAGCTTAGTGTTCCAAGCTGATTTACTATTAACCTTTCTTATATAAAAAAAACAAACTGGGATTATTTATTATCTCTGCTATGCAAAGACGGTGTGACACGTCACATTCTCAGTTTTACATGACCCACCAAAGCAGAGGGTTTTCTGTGTTCTTCTGGCAAGTTAAGACCTTACATATATACACGAGCACCTTTAACACCATGCATGCTCAAGGAAATCGAGATCAGTTTCATCACCATGTTTGAAGTAATTTCTCAAGACACACTTGACATTAAAAAAAACAAACCACAAAGAACACAGGTATCTATTTGAAGCAAAAAGTTGTTCAATAAAACAAGCAAACAACTTTTCTTACACTCAAATTTACACAAAGGATACAGTCCAGCAAGAGTTTGGTAAGTGCGTGGTATGCTGACAAATCCTGCATTTTAGGTATTTGATTGTATGAAAAATCTACCTCCTGAGGAGAAAAGGAGACAGAAAGTAACTTTTTTTCTTCAGCACTTACAGCTGTCTTGTGAAACTAAATGGCTGTCACATTAGACTTGTGATCAAGGGTGTGGAAGTAAGAGGAACATTAATATTAATGTTGGAAAGTAAACACAAAGGTTCTTTTTTCTGACACAGAGAATTCAAATTTTGGGAATTTCCAAAATTGTGCTATCTTTCGAAAACATTACCATTAATGGTCCTGTGGTTATGTGTACATATTAAAAAATGATGGAGAAGACAGAAATATACAAAGGCTGTATTTCAAAATAACATCCTGCTCTTTATAAGCCAAAGTGGGCTACAAAAAAAAAAAAAAACAACAGCAAAGGGAAGAATAGCATAAAGCCACACTTTAAGTACGTGTTTCACGTTAGCAATTGGCACCAGTCAGTTTTTGAAAGGCAGGAACTGATCCCACTAAAAGTCTGACGAATTTGGCAAGCAAGGAAAAAACTCTGGCTAAGAGTAGCCCTGCCTAGAACAGTCAGCTGCACAGGGCATGCTGGGATTCAGAATGTGAAAGATAATAAAAGACTTAAATAAAAATAATAATAAATAACAAGAAAAAATAATAAAAAAAATCTAAACATTTGGAAAAGCTACTAAAATGTCAAAGAAAGAAACAATGATGAAAAAAAAAAAAGAAAGGTTACAACTTGGCTTTTCCACATATCAAAATACAACAACTAAGTTTGATTTAAAAAACATTTTGAATTTAAACCTATAGCATATTTTTATTTTATTTTTTACAACGTACCTTGAGATTTTTTGGTGGCTTAAAAAAAATATGTGGTCAAGTCATTGTTGGAAGCATTCAGTTGTAGTAAGTAAGGCATCTGACTGACACAAGAAAGATCTAAGAACAAAACAAATGCCAAATCCTTTACATGAATGCATGGGTAAATGCAGAGATCATCATGTCAAGATGCGATAATTATGGCAAAAAGCAATCAGAAATCAACTTGTGATTACACATTTAGAAAGCAGTGTTTGAAATGCAGAAGTGAGGTATATCATTACCCTGTACTAGAAGAAAGATGGTTACTAAAACATGAAGAATAAACACTCAAATCCTACATTAAATTTCCATTATGTGAACTTTGTGATATTTAGTTGTATACTCTAGTTCTTTTTAAAGTGACACGGATACTATCTGCATTCTAACTTATTAATTATAGGAGAAAAGTATTTGAGTCACTACTGAAGACTAAACAACTAGTTGTAAGGAAAAATCCCTGCTCAATTCAGACCTACCCCTCACAGACAAACTGTTAATAAAATGAGCACGGAGATGTGATGCCTTACAGAAGCGCTGCTATGACCAGACTCGCACACCTCAAGCAAAATGAACTTGAAAGGAATAACTTAACAGGCTGCCACCACAGCTCATTCCTTATCAAGTTAAATTAAAAAAATAATAATAATACAAAGAGTTGGGGGTACAAGGGAGAGGAAAGGAGTAGAAAAGGATGGATTTAACCGCAGTCTCCACTAGCTACTTTTCTAAACTCAGGGTACAATTTTGCCATTAATGGAAAACTTTTGGGAAGGAAAGCTCAAGGCTTGCAAAACTGTACCAGCCATAATTTTACATATTATGACACTTCCGTGTTCCCAACCTTAATCTTGTATTGACATGCTTGCTTGCATTTTAGTTTTGGATAATAAACTGGACAACAGTCTCCATGTTCCTACTGGTCAGCATATGCTGGTGCAGCTGTCTGAACAGTCCACGCATCATTCTCAAGAAGATCTAGCCATTGCCTCAGTCTGTAGAGCCAGAGTAGTTATCCCATTAAATCGTAGACCAGGCTTTGTGATATTAAGCCTGCATGGTACGCTGCGTTCCTCATCTTAACTGATTTCACAACCCAAGAGTTTACTACTGTATCTACTACATACCATTAATTTTATTATATGAAAGTTCCAACTTCTGTAGGTGAACGTATCTGGAGAGAATGTTAATGTCACTTAACTCACGACCCTGGAAAAATAATGCAAAGAGACTTTAATAACTTGCTGTAATACCTCACCCTGCTCTCCCAGATCTCCTGGGAGATGCACAATATAGAAACATTGAAGAGGTGCCACAAGGTCCCTCCAGCTGGATCTGTCAGAGCTGGATGACATATGCTGAAAGTTATGTTAGACCTGTAGACCAGCCATGAATGCAAATTATGTCAAAAGACTTGAAAACACAACCCTGAGCGATAGCTGGAGCCAGGGAAAATGCCAGAAAACCAGGGCTCCAGGAAAAGAGCCCTGCAGCAAGAAATATTTAAGAAGACAACGGTTTTAGCTTTCTGACCAGAAAACACCAAATGCAGCATTCTTAGATGTTTAGCATGTTCCTCTTTTTTTCCCCTAGCTGACTAAAGCAGGAATATACCCAAACCTAAAGATTTGGTATGGAAAAATCTTACTACTGCTATAAAGTGAAAAAAAACAGTAGTGATAGAGCAGCTGTCAGCAGGAGCCACCCTGTGTCTTGTCAAAAGTCCCACATACATGAGACAACATTAACAGGTAGAGATCAAAAATCTGATTTATTTATTTATTTTATTAGTATTATTTTACCAGGATAACTATTTGTAGTTACAAGGAATAACTCTTTGAGCAGAAAAGCACTTCACAATGATGTTCTTTGCTTATACTTACTGAAAGGGACAAATTCAGATAAACGTATTCAGTACCAGAGGCCGAGCGCCCCAGCTTGTGGAGACCCTCAGCCACAGTGTCTTCATCCAGTACTCCTTCCAGCTGATCCTGTAACATACCAGGAAGGGAGAGAAATGGATTAGAGGAGATTTATGAAATAAAACTCCACTTTATAGAATCTAGGAGCTGCTTGGGATGCAACTGGGAACAGAGTTTAATGGAAGACCTCAGTCAAGTGCTGTTTTCAGTGCTCCATCACCTTGTTAAAGCACTATGCATTAGGAAGAATGATGAATAGAGCCCTCAAAACTGATAAATAGAAACACGTTATGTACTACCTCTAGACGCTGAAAAACGCTCAGTCAACCTTTTCAACGTTTTTCATTGGTATTTTTTTAACCTCCTGATTTACATGCACAGTGTTAAGCAGGACCTGCTTTCAGAGATGTTGAGCCATGAAACTCACGCTGATTATGGATGTTAACATCTCAGCAAATCAGCACCAGCACAACCCCAGCGTTGTACCCCAACACATACGTTATTGGAGGCCCTTTAAATTTGTTCAGCACGAGCAGCTAGCGCTTCAGCGAGCGGTCTTTGCCAAAGAGGCTACCTTGACAGATGGCACTAATGAACCACTGCGTCGATTTAATGAGAAAATAAGCCAATGGCTTGTGAAATTTCTAGGAGCCGGGAGAAGTCACAGTACAATTGCTAATCTAGGGACCAGGATAAATAATGTTTCAAATGGTAATCATCTAAATTATAACCTCCATGTTATAGCAATGGAGACTACAGAGATAGTTCCACTAGATAAAAATATGAGGTGATAATGCTGTGGCAGCAGACACTTTAGAGCTCAGTAGAGAAGGTAAAACAAATTCACTTGGGGTTTATTGAACCTCAGGGCAGAGCATATACAAAGGCAAGGGGGTGAATTTGGTGGTGCATGTGTCAGTTTATCCGTAGTCTTTATAGGATAAGGAAAAGAATAAGGCAATCCAGAACTATTCTGGACATTGATGGGATTGAAGGGACCCTTAAAGAAAAGGCAAAAGTGATGAGAACACCAAACTCACTTTCTGGGGAGGTGAGAAATCGTTACCTTGTGCCCCCACCGCCTCCCCCTATTTCCCCAACTACACTGAGCGATGAGGGAGGGGAACAACACCCCTCCCCCCGTGCGCACACCCTCCCCAAACTTTCAGAGCGCCGAGCAGAACCTCTGCGGGCCGCGACTCCTCTTCCTCATCGTCCTCATCCTCCTCCCTGTGAGGGGAGCTGCGCTGCAGCAGGCCGGGCCCCTCGGGGACCCCCTTTGAGGGGTGGGAGGGCTCCTGAGAGGAAAGAGGCAGCTCCCCGGGGCCGTCCTCTCCCCGCTTCTCCTCGTCCCCCACCATGAGCTGAGAGAAGGACGGGGGAGGCGGAGGAGGCTCCGTGAGCAGCGCCTCGCCCCGCAGCCCGCCCCGTCAACCCCAAGCCCCGGCCGCCGCCATCTTGTTTGCTCGCCCGTTGCCAAGGAGACGGGAGAAGGGCCGTTCCCGCCTACAGGAGCCAGCCAATCAGAAAGCGGCTGGCGCGCGGTGCACGCTGGGAGTTGTAGTCCCTGCGCTTGCCGCGCCCTAGTAGCCAGGCTGCGGGGCATGATGGGAGTTGTAGTCCGCCTCACAGACACTCTCCTCAGCCCTCCTCACACAGCCCCAGTCCCTCTCTCTCCTTCGTTAAGGTGGCAGCTTGGCTCAATGTGTTATAACAAGAATAAATAATAGCGTGTCCAGCATGTTTAGATGTGGCCACTGTGTTTCTGACTCCAACTTCAAATAAAAAAGTTACTTGTTTTCTCATTTCATTCCTCCTCGGCTCCTAATCTGTCATCTACTGCGTGTTTTTATGCTGCAAAATGGGGTAAAATGATGAAGTAAACCCATAAAGAAAAGGAAGGGAGGAAGAGAAATCCATCAGGATGTCAGCAAATATAGGTCGCTGTGAGACAAACACGAGGAAAGCACAGCTCCTCATGGCAAAACAATTTAATGTTGGAGACTGCGGATTCCTGCTGATTGCAGTGGGTCTCTGATGTGGGTCATGACAGCCAGCTGAGCCTTGAGAGCCTCGTAATTTTGTTTTTCGGTGTCACATCGTTGCCTTCTCCACCTGTGTTCATAAAAGGACACCCATCTTTGATTGCACCAGTTCTTGCTTTAAAAAGAAAAAAAAAAAAAAGGAAAAAAAGAGAGGACATAAAACTCCTTATGGACACCATCCACTGACTTTTATCTCCGTGCTTCAGGGAAACATTATGATAACTGCAATAAAGCTACCCCAAATTACCTTCCTTCTTATTATCTCA